TCTTAACTGAATGGTTAATTTTTCAATTTCATGGAAAATAATCCAATTTTCTTTGGGGGGTTGTTGTAACCATTTACCTGTTATAGCTTTCTTACTTGCTACCAAGAATACTTTTAACAAGTATTTATCTCTTCCCATACCCTCAAGAGGCAGATTACCCAGATATAGAGCTGAAAAAGATTTTGGAATTTCTGAACATAATATCTTGAATCAAAGATGTTTCAAAACTATCAGTTCTTTAATTAAATACACACACTTTAACAGAACATGCCCTAACCCATGGTGAGCTCACTGAAGGCCTGTCTGTGCATGATCTGTAACACAATTTCAAAACTCATTCCAGTTTTTTTCATATTTTCATTTTTTTAATTTCATTTTACACTTCACTTTCTCAACTAACATACAACTAACCATTACAGTGCCCCAGAGAATGTACTCTCAATGTTCACTATTTTTATTTTAAAAAACCAACACACACTGCAGTTACTGATGCGTCCCCCTCATGTCTGGCCAGTCTGCATGCTAAACACACCACAGTTGCTCACATCTTGGGAGTCACATCTGGCCAGCCTGCATCTTGGACAAGTTGGACAGGCAACACACCCTATACTTATAGCACAGAAACAATGATCCTTTCAGTCTCCCTTTCTTCTCTCTGAATCTCCTGTTGTGGTTGTAGGGTTTTTGTGCATTTGCTGGTACAATTTATTAATTGTAGCAGTAAATCACAAAATGATTCTTTGATGATATTAGAAAATCGACCTTGCGGAACAACTCAGCAATGCACACACACGGATACCAATACACAAGAATACATTAATTAATACATAAAATGTGCATACAAACATAACAGATCTTACAGTGAGGATTAGGAGATTACAAAAGGTATATATTCAATCATGAAGAACTGCAAATACCAAGAGACACAGTAAACCATTCATTTATACCGTTTCGTTAATAAACTTTGATTACAACTTCAACACTTCAAAAGCAAGTACATCACTCATAGGAATTAAATTGACCAACTGGGTTTGACATCACAATTGAATTCACAAGTTGTAATGTAGAATGTTGAATACTCATCCAATATATGTGGATTCAGATCTCCTGCAAACTTCTGTGTCCAAACGACATCCTCTGGTGCCAGGTAGTCCTGGTGTGGCTGGAGGTGTGGGAGAAGGAGGGAGAGATTCCTGCTGTGGTGCACTGGTAGTGACTCTATGAAAACCAGCAAGTTAGTCCTGGCTGAACAAGCAGAGTTTGTGCACACTCTTTAGATGGGAAGAAGACTGGTTCGTTCCCGATGTAGCACTAGTCTTGAATACTGAGGTTCAGCTGTCAACAGTTGCAACACGAGTTCATTTGTTTATCAGGCAAGCTATCACGGTGGGGTACCGGCAGTTCACAAGGCTTGCTGCTGGGCTAACCTTGGGCGGATCCTTTGGTTACGCGCAGGCGACCTCCAGTCCCGACTCTTAGAACAAAGTAAAGTACTGGCCGTCACGTGATTGTCCGAGATGAATCTGAGAATGTCCTGGAGGGGCACGCTCTGGGCCCTGTGCTGCCTCTTTTATCTGAAGGAACTTCGGTTGTACATTGGTTGACAGTTCCATGGGCATTTGAGACCCATGTGGGGTTACCCTGCCCTACCAATTCCTGATTGGCTGATCAAGGTGGAGGATGAGTAACAATGCTGTCTGACATTAGGGTTGTAAGCAACTTAAGATGAGACTCTCCTTTGGATTCTCTCAGACAGAAAGGCACCAGAGATGACCATTCATTAGGGTGGCTGGAGAATCCCAACCTTGGGAGTTCCTTATCAGGAAACTCTATCAGATAGAAAAACACCTTCAATCTGAACCACATGGAATGGCCTCTCTGTGTCCAGCACCAATGAGATGAGGGAGATGAGGGAGAGAGAGACTGGCAAGGGAGCAGCAAACTTAATTCCTGTATTATTTAATAAGCCTTGCCGCTACATGGGTTTCTCACTGCAGTGAGTGGGCCTTCTAACCCAGTCACCACCACATTCACACACCATACATTCATTTTTAAAACCAAACAACAATCACCACAATTTCACAGTCTACCATGTGTTCAGCATTGCTAGGTATAGCACACACTGCCAGATAGCCAGCAACTGGATAGTCACCCTGTAAGACAGGTCACTATGTAGTGGTAGCACCACCCAAAACTGCAGCTTATCAAAACACCAGCATCCTTCAGCTGAGGTTTCTTATATGAACAATGGTTAATGGCCTGTCACTTTACAGTACATATAATCTTGATTTTTCCAGTTTGTATACAAAAAGGTTGAAAACAGGTGACCTGTGGCAGAATAAACTGGCCAAATTATTTAACTGCAGAAACACAGTTCTTGTTCAAAGTATCTGCTGAATTATCCATTGGACAAAGCCTTGAAATGTCTTGTAAATAGTCCTCTAAAAATCCCCACAACTTATTAAAACATTATTTTTCTGTAAGAATAATAATAATTGCTTTCACTTATATAGCAATTTCTGGACACTCAAAGCGCTTTGCAGATAATGGGGACTCCCCTCCACCACCACCAATGTTCAGCATCCACCTCGATGAAGCAGTGGGAGCCATGGTGCGCCAGAACGCTCACCACACATCAGCTATTAGTAGGAAGGAGAACAGAGTAATGAAGCCAATTCATTTTTTTGAAAGATAAGTTATAGCAAGCACCAGATTTAATTCTGCAGCAGTTCAATCTTATCATATTGTTATGAGTGCCTTTAAGAATCTAAGAATGGGGACACCTACTTTGTGTGAACATTTTTTTCAGCATTTCAAAGCAAGAGGATGTTAGCTGTGATATAAGATTCACTGATAAAAGCAATTGTAACGTTTATCTTGGTTTACCTTAGATAATTAAGGTAAGGGTAAATTATTAATGTCTATCAACAGCACAGTAACAGAGTAGTAGTATAAAGCGACATCTTTCGTCAGACTTTTAACAGGTACCACGCCCCCTTTTCCAGCCAATGGGAGTCAGTGGTGGTTGGTTGTCCTGCCCCCTTGCCAGCCAATGGCGTGTTATTATTTGTGCATGGCCCACCCCCTCAGGAGCCAATGGTGTGTCGTTAAGGGTCGGAACTCCCGCTTTCCCCCCCCCCGGCCGGTCGGTCCGGAGCCTCAGGGTCCCAAAGCCCCAAGGCGGCGCATTCCTCGCTTTAGGTGTGTGAAAGTGTGTATTGGTTTGGAAGGGGACCATGTCTGCAGCGGGGTTGAGTGCGCTCTATTATAACCCTAGGAAATTTTTACGGCGGCGCGGGGAGTCTGGTGCGTGCCGCAACATCCCGGGGTGTGAGCGATGCCAGCCGCGGCCGGGTGGCCGAGTGGTTGTCCGGCCAGGCTGCTTATACGCTGCACAAGCCGGTGCACGTAAGTTTTAAGAGAAACAGGACGCTGGTGTCCGAAATGGACTGGCAGTGGCAGGCCGACTTGGTGGACATGAGAGAATACCGCGAGTTCAACGACGGTTTCTGTTACATCTTAATGTGTATAAACATGTTGTCTAAATACGCTTGGGCCGTGCCGCTGAAAACCAAGACTGGAGGGGCCATGACAGGCACCTTCCAAAATATACTGCAAGAGGGGTGTGCTCCTAAAAAGCTACAAACGGACGAGGGTAAAGTATTTCTTAACAGGACCTTCCAACATTTTTTCAAACGTGAGAATATTGAACATTTCGTTATGGCCAGCGATGTGAAGGCTAGCATGGTCGAGAGGTTTAACAGAACTATTAAAACAAAAATGTGGAGGTACCTGACACACAAAAACACCTTTCGATATATCGACGTCCTTTCAGATTTTATTTACGCTTATAACCATAGTTACCACACGACTATTAAACGAACCCCGGCTTCTGTTACGTCCAACAAATACCTTGAGGTGTGGAGAACGGTCTATGACGACCACTTTAAGAGAAAACCGTCAAAGTTTTCATTTAATGTGGGTGATCGCGTGTGGGTGTCCAAAATAAAGGGAGTGTTTGAGAAGGGATATGAACAGACCTTCACAGATGAAATTTTAATTGTCAAAGAGCGGACCGCGGCTCTGAGATCCTATTACAAACTGCAGGATTACGCAGGCGACGACATTAAGGGCTCCTTCTATGCCGAAGAGCTACAGAAGATAAACCCTGATGTTGAGAACATCTACCACATTCAAACGATTTTAGCAGCCAGGGGTCGTGGCAAAAACAAACAGCTTTTGGTAAAGTGGAACGGCTGGAGCCATAAATTCAATACAGCCTGGCGAGGATGTTGGGTTTCAAATCGGGTGTTGGGGGTATAAAATCACCGCACCCCGTCGATATGACTGGCGGATTTAACACCATGTATATATACACCGATATCATAGAACACCAGTTAATAGGCGATGTCTACGCACAGCTTTTATGTTGTGTGCCCTTCAGAAAGACCGATCAAAACGAACAAAACGTGTCATTTGCATTTGGAAAGGTCATTGTCAAGTTGCATTTCAGACCTGTGAAAGCGACAAACATCTAAAAGGATGACAGTCATCAAGAGCTACGGGGATCCTTCTTTGTATACACACTACTACAAACAACAGGCTGGTTATGGATTACCAGGATTGTCAGGGCTACCGGTTCAGTACGGCGCTGGTATTGGGGGTATTTTCAGAGCGCTATTTAGAAAAGCTGTGCCTTTTCTGAAACGAGGGTTTGAAATAGCTAAGCCGCACATGGCATCGGCGGCTAAAAACTTCACCAAAGACGTGGTCGGCAACGTTACAAGCGCGGTCATGTCAGCGGGAAGGTTCGGGTCTAGCATACATCTGCAGAGGTGTCAAGAGAAAAAGACAACGTCATCATCTCACCGTCGGGGGCCGCCGAAACCTGATAAAAGAACGGCTAAGCGCAGACAGTCAACTCATAAAAGCTTCAGGTCGACCAAGAAGGGCGTGACACACCGCAATCAATGAGACACGAAACGAGACATATTTAAAACATGGCTTTTGTTCATGGCTGGTCTGCAGAATGCGCCAAGTCGGAGCTGGACATATTTCAATTAGCGCCTACCCAAACAAGCGTCGAGAAAAGCTTTTACATAGAAGTTCCACCCCTCACGGCCCTAACAGAAACCACACCTCTGGAGTTCTACGTCGCAGGCAACGGAGAAGATTATTTAAATTTAAACAACACCCTGCCCTATTTGACCTGTAAAATAACGGAAGCAGACGGTCGGGACATTGATGCAGCAGCCCGTGTGAGTCTGGTGAATTACCCCATCGCAGCCATCTTCAGCCAGGTTGACATCACTGTAGGAGACCGATTGATCAGCCAGAGCAACAACTGCTATCCTTACAGAGCCTTTATAGAGTCTGTCCTGAACTACAGTGAAGAGACGCTGAAGACGCAGAATTCAACAGGGCTCTTTTACAAAGACACAGCCGGGGAACACGAGTCCACAATTTTGGATGGTCGTAATCAGAGGTTCCGAAAAAGAGCATCATACACGACGCAAAGCCGAAAACTGGAGCTCCTGGGTGACATTCACGCAGTCCTGTTTTTTCAGGACCAACTACTACTGGATGGCGTAGACCTGAAAATAAAACTCACGAGCAACAGAGATCCTTTCTGCTTAATGAACAACGACGGAGAACACAAACTGAGCGTACTCTCTGCATCTTTGTTTGTGAAAAGAGTCAGAGTGTCACCCGGGGTCAGACTGGGACACGCCGAAGCACTCGTAGAGGCCAACCCTAAATACCCCATAGACCGCGTACAGATGAAAGTCTTCAGCCTGCCTGCAGGGATCCGTGTGTGTAACCAAGAAAACCTCTTTCTCGGACAGTTACCCAAAGTGGTCATTTTGGGGTTTGTGGACAACGCGGCATTCAGCGGCAGTTTTACCCCAAAACCCTTCAATTTTAAACACTACAATGTTAACTTTCTGGCTTTCTACGCGGACGATGAACAAATCCCCACTAAACCGCTTTAACCAGACTTCCAGAATGGACATTGCGTCCATGAATATTTTAATCTGGTGGAAACAGCCGGGAAGCGTTTGAAAGACAAACCACTTCTGGTGGACCGCGAGGAGTACGCGCGCGGTTACATATTGTTCGCTTTCAACCTCAGCCCTGACGACGAGTGCACCGGGCATTATTCACTTATCAAAACGGGTAATCTGAGAGCTGAAATACGCTTTGCACTACCGCTACCCACTACAGTTAACATGGTTGTGTGCGCGCTGTTCGACAATGTGATAGAGCTGATATGAGACGTCAAGTCATTTACGACTTCAGCTAAAAAGCACGGGAGGCCACACAACCGACAATTTAAAACATGTCATAAATGTTAATCGACCGTCTAAAATAAAAATGAAATCGAACCATTATGATGTCTGTGTGGTTATTATTTAAAAAGAGCACAAAACATGAATTAAAATCAATACAATATTTTTATTATACATTCGCTGTTATAGCGCTCAAGCTTTTATTAATACATGTTACAGCCAAGCCATTTTCTTACATTTTTAACCATATTGCGCACGCTTTTTAATATACATTTCAAGTCATTTAACACAAACACACATACCCAGAGAAAAAATGTTACAAAGACAACCATGTGGGTCTAGGTATTAATGATCGTCTCCTTTCAGCGGTTATCTTAGAGACCGGGTCGACCGTGAAGTGGAAATCTAATAAGTAAATTGATTCTTAAAAATGTAGAGAAATATATTGGTGCTTTTAGATAATATATTTCAAGGATGTAACTGCTGTGCTACTGTGCGTTCAGAATTTTAGAAAACAGTTTGTCAACAAAGTACACTGTTTAAGTTAGTTTAGAAGACAATGTACCAATACAATATATGCTGTCTGGGTCATTAGAATTAGCTGAAAGTAACTGATAAGCTTTGAATAACAAATCTAGTTTTTCTTCTCTCGCTCTATGATGTTATCTGTTTTCTCTTAGAGAAAGGGGAAGTTTTAGAAGGGACCAAGTGCTGAACTTTTTTACAGCGCAACGTCTTATAAAAACCCTTTACTGCTTGTAACAAATTGAGTCTCTGGTTGCACTTTGCGAAGTGGCAGCAGGGCTCCCAATATTGCAATATTGAAATAAAGACCTTACTCAGGTGAGAACTCTCTCTTGTGGCTTCCTTGATAGTTATATTTCCATGACAACCGGCGTTGTTACCAGCGTTGGCTAGCAAGGTGCCAGGCACGTTGATTTTTGCCATAGCCTCCATGAACACATCCCAACCTTTTGGCTTCTTACCGACTGCAACTGCTTGCTGCTTCGTGAGAGCCCTGATAAGATCAATCATGTGAGAGCCCTCAACGGGTGCCCCCTTGTACACAAATTCCCCTTTTTCATTCCAGGCTATTAATGGTTCATTGCGGGCCATGGTCTTTAACAATATC